GGTTTTGTACCCGGACAGTCTTGGTAAACATCAGGTCTCTGTTCGCTGTTATCTTCCTCTCTCAGAGACCTGCTGTCTCTATCTCTGTGCCATAGGTGTGCAAGGGAGATGCCGGCCACGGCCTTCCTTCCTGAGTGGGCTCCTCAAGGAGGAGACTTTGTTCTCTTGACCTTATAGGGTTTCCGCGTAAGATCGATCGGTGAGGAAGAGAGAAGGAGCAGGGGAGAGGGGAGACTTTCTGGAGTTCGAGGGTTAGGGTTAACTTTGATCTGGCTCCTTCAGTCCACTTTGGGTAAATTCAGCGCATGCGTATATAAAACTTTCTGTGCCTCTGCATTTCTGTGGCTGTTCCTGATCAAATCTCCTTTATATAAAAACAAAATAAGCATGGCCACTTCTCACTCAACTGTTCTAAAATCGAACTTTTGGGTGTGGGTGGCGGATACTTGTCCTGTGTTTATGAATAAAGTACTTTCTTTCCACCCTTCTCAACCTCTCCGGGGAATTTGCATTCATAGACTTCACACATCTAGTTTTTTGGAGAAAAATGCCAAAGTTGCAATTTAGAGTGGAAGTTTATGAATTTGGATATTTTAAAAATCATTTCACGGGTTGTGAATTAAATCTTCAGGAGGACTCGGAAATAGCGAGCAAGGCCATTTATTTCTAGTTGGACAAATAAAGAAAAAAGATAATAGTTTTGCTTTAAGCCAAATTGAAACTTTCTCATCCAGGGAGAGGCTGCAGGGCCCACCACTTATTTCATTTACATAAAACAGACTGGCAGTCGCGGTGGGTCAAAGTCCTCAACACTAGTCCAGCTCCACGCTTGGACTGTGCAGACCAAGGCGCCACCAGTCTGTGCGTTTGGCGGCGGGGGGTGCCGATCTGGGGAGGGGGTGCCTACACCTCGAAATTCACTTGGGGGGGTCTCCTGACAAGAACGGTCCCCATAGAGCGATTTTAAAGGAAAATTTCCAAGTCTCTGGGAGCCGAGACGAAGCGCCCAGGAAGACTGGGCCAACTCCGGGCAAATGGGCCTTGGTGCCAATTAGGAGGCGGCGGAGCGCCCCTCACTGAGGTGCAGGCGGAAAAAAGGCACCGGAAAAACCTCGGAGGGCGTATTTGGGAAGGGTGAACAAAGGAACGCTCAGGGTAAAAGACGGAACACCAACAGTCCCACCCTAGATTTGTGTAAATAGAGCCTCTCGAAAGATTCTAAGTGTTCATTTTGGATTCTTCGCGACCAACGAAGCTCGCCAGCCGGAGGC